GCTTCCCTGTATCCAACCACGCGAAAACCCAACTCTACAAAGTAAAACATGAAATCAATCGATTAACCTCACCTCAATCTCAAATTAGTTAGGATCAGTAATATGCATCCTCTAAATAGATTAATTACTTTTACACAGAGGCGGATCCAAGATTTAAATTTTATGTATTTCTGAATTCTAGGATAGCGACCTCAAGTGGTAGTAACTAAATTACGAATTTAATTTTTGCACATAATTAGTAGATTTCTTAACATATATACAAGCTCTGCCCCTGCTATTACGTTATTGTCAAACCAGCTAAAACCTCAACTCTAAACCCTAAACGTGAATCGAGAACAAATGAATGAATACGCGACGAGAAATCTCACCATCCAATTAAAATACGGAATGAAGCTGATAATTCCCATAACAGCAAACCTCGCATCAGCAGAATCAATCACGGAGTCGCCGTCGTCATCCTCCGTGTAAGTAGTCGGGAAAACCAACGAGCTGAAAATGCAAGCACCGATAGCGACGGCGATTGGCGCGTCGTTTGCAAACTCTGCCCTACAAGTTCCATTTCTCAACCTTCTCTACAAAAAATCAAATAACACAATAAAATGACATCGTCATTAAGTTAACATAAACAAGCTAGTATTTAAGTTAAGCTGAGATTAGAGATATGGAAATAGTACTTAAGTTAAATTACCAGATTAAGTTTTTTGTGGAGGCGAGCTCGATATAGAGGTAGAAGAGTTGGTAAAAGAGAAGATCGTAAGGATTTTGGTGAAGTTGGAAGAAGTACTGCTGACGTGGAAGTAAGAGGAATCATCGTCGGAGATGGTGGACGGCGACGGTATCATCTAACGTGTGCCGGCGAGGGGTTAGGTGATCGGCGCAGGTTAAGGTTATGGAGTTAGGAAAAGGTTCATGAATCCTGCGCGTTTTGAGAACAGTGCCCAAAGTGTTAAGGAAGTCGCTGGAAGTATAGCACATTCGAGTAAAGCGTATTATAAGTCGCAATTAACTAATGCTATTTATAAGTCGCAATTGACTAATGCGATTTATAAGTCGCAATTATAAGGCGCATTATAAGTCGCTATTTATAAGTTGCAATTACTGAATGCAACTTATAAGGCACATACATCTATGAGTCGCATTTTCTACTGCTGTCTAAGCGGCGTATGTCAAATGTGATTATGGTTACTAATCAGTTTTATTAGTTATATATAGATTTTATTTTCAAAATTTTAATTCTTCTAGATAAAAGATCGATAATTTATCTATCTATACTATATTAAAAGCACGAAGGCCCTTAACGAAATGTAGTTCGTCTTTTTTACCCTTTTAAAATATAGTTCACATTGGACAAAATAGTCATTAGATCATTCTCCTAATATTTAGAAATAATTATTTAATTATTTTTCTAATATATAGGAGCATTTACTTAATTAGGAGTATTCATTTAATTATTTTCCTTATATTTAGAATTTACTTTTTTTAATTCTAGAATTCCTGTACTTTTCGATCCAAACTAGGAAAGTTTCATCCACTTTGTAAGGTTTTGTTTTATTAATAAAGTTTTTAAAATTTCAACTCCACTCAGATTAGGAGTACTATATTAAAGAGAAAAAAATATTTTAAAAAAAGGATTGAAAGGAAACAGGTGAAAGATCTCATGCATGTCAACAACGATGGGATTTTGTTCTTATTTTCGGCTTTTGTTTCATTCACTTAATTATTGTAGTGTTTGTACAATTCGTATAGCTTAATTATTGTAGTGTTTGTACAATTCGTATAGCATTAGAAAACATCCAATTAAGAATTTAAATAATATTTTAATTTATTGACTTCAAAATATTAGATATCAATAATAATAAAACAAGGATTGAAATAACTCTTAAAATAGTATTTGTATATATGACACAAGAATAAATGTTATTTTTACTAAAAGTAATAATAGTAATAATGTATTAATAAATACATATAGAATATATAAATAATGTATTTGGTATTCTGTATTATTTTTT